AAAAGAAAAAGAAAAAGAAAAAGAAAAAGAAAAAGAAAAAAGAAAGTTACCCAGAGCAGAGGCAGCAAACAAGCTGCTCATAATCTACAGGAGGCTCACAACACTCAAGTAGCAAACCATATTAAAGTGTAATTGGGAAATATTTAACAAAATAAATAAAAATACAACAAAACATAGATTACATTACATTTTTTAACTAAGTCAGCTTTTGTGTGGCTTGTACAGATCCTTAAGTATGCTTAAGTTGGTGCCTCCCCCACCTCCATTTCTATTTTAGCTTGACCGACACCTAAGTCCAGAGCACTGCAAGGTTGAGTGACCTATCAGGTCACTTGTCTACCATGTTTAGAGGTGGGACTTCAGTTCATGTCTCCCTGGGCTTGGAAGCTGGCTCTCCCTCCACCATGCCATGCTACTTCTCTACTACTACGGGATGGGTAGAACATTAAATTCAGGCATCGATAATATATCTTGAACAGGTATTGCAGAGGAACAATTATCTGGGTCCAGAATTGAATAGGAGAAGGTGTGTGGAATAAATTGCATTTGAAAAACCACATGGTGCCTTCAACAATTCTAAGATTGTCCTTGACACAAAAGTCTGCTTCTTCAACAGCAATATTATCTCAGCGATATTAATTATATGACTGCCAATCACGGCATACTATGATCTCTAAGGAATCTATATCATGGGTGACCTAAAGAGCAGTGGGGAGAGATATATGGTAGGTGTAAGGACACTATAGTATAATAGCAATAATGATTTACACACAAGATATGATATAAAAGATATCATTAAAGACATGCAGATTAGCAAAAGAGGTAGGCCAGTCAGGTAGCAATACAGAGAAATAATGAACAGTACAATTGTTAGACCTGTGTCCATGAAATACTAAAAGATCTAGCAGTTCTCCAGTGTATCAGGTAGATGCTATTTGGAGAATTTATTGAAAGACATGAACAAGATTTACACAGGATAAAAAGTCATGGGTGAGGGTGAGTTGCATTTTGTACCAATGGAAATAAGTATCCAAAATATTCAAGTATCCAAGAGACAAAAGAAGAGGAGGAAGAGGAGGCTTGGGCTGATGAGTCCCAGGGTGGTCTAATTTGACAGGGGAACCAGAAGAAAAGGTACATATGAGACAAAGTCCTTAAGAAAACAAGCACTTGTTGATTCCCAACCTCTGGCAGTGGGTTGGGAATGTTCTGCCCATCTCTTCTGAGCTTTTAAACTCTCTTATAATCTGAATAGAGGCCTGATAATCACCCATTAATCCTGAGCATATGTTGGCCCCACTTCACTATGATGTAGCTAGAGGAACCAAGACAGGCTAAAGATGGGGTGGCATGAAGCGGCTGTTACTCAATTCCTTGCCTTGCTGGGAGCTACAGCTATGACTTGGCTTGGAGTTTTCTTTGCGGGTAGGAAATTTCTGTCTTAGAGTCAGGAAGACGGGTTCAAATCTCACCTCTAAAGTACACTGACTGAGTGACCCTGGGCAAGTCATTTACCTTCCCAATATCCCAAGCAATCCTCCAAGACTCTAAGTTACAGAGTAGGTGATGATATGTATTGGGAGAGGGAGTTTTTTGTTTTATTTTGTTTTTACCAAGAAGTTCCCTATGCCATTGAAATCAAAAGTCTATTTCCCCTTTAAAAAATCACTAAATAACAACAAATAATTAAACACATGAAGTCTAATATGACATGATTATAGTTTTCTAGTTATGTCATGTGTGTATGTTGTGATTCTATTCTGCTGGAGCTCTTCAAAGGCAAGGTCCATGTTCTTCTGTCTCCTCTACTCTGTTCATCTACTGGGCATAGAGAAAGTGCTTAAGAAATAGTTACTTACTACCTGCCCAACATAACAGCATGTTGGATCTGGAGTCAGGAAGATCTGGTTTCAGATCCTGCTTCTGACACTTACTGTCTGTGACCAGGGGCAAAAAACCTTGAGTTAAACATGAGTATGTGAGAGTATTTTATTTTTTTGCACGGACAACCTCTTTGAGTAACAACTCTCATTTAAATTCAACAGACAGTTCTTATAAACTACATTCAGTGATTCTGTTTGGTGCAAAGAAACCCTCAGGGCGTTTAAAGTTCACTAGATAAGATAAAAGTAAATGCATAAATATCTATAATACAAGGCAGAATGTGATAGACACCATGAAGTACAACTTACTATGGAAGTCCAATGTGCCATGGGGAACAATCACAGGAGAAGGGCGTTGGAGAGGGGGAAGGGAAGGAATCAGGGAAAGTTTCACGAAGGAGGTGGCATTTAAGATGGCCCTTAAAGGAAGGGTAGGATTTCAACAAAGATTGAGGGAAGGTACCCCAGGCAGAAGGAACAGCAGGAAACAAACCAAATGAAGCAGTTAGTGTAGGGCACCCTGAAGACCTATTAGGTAAGATAATAAAGTACATGCAGGGAAATAGTAGGAAAGGAAGCTTTAAAAGTAGGTTATGGCCTTATTGTGGAGGGTCTTCGTGCCAGGCTGAGGAGTTAAAATTTAATTTTATAGGCAATGGGGAGCCATGGAAAGTTTTTGAAGGGAGAATGAGCTGAAGGAACTGAACATTTAGAAGGCAATCTGCCAGCAGCTGTGGGCAGGATGGGTTTGTCTCAATGTTACCTCTTAGGATTCTAAATATTTTTTTCTTAATTATGTAATACTTCAGAAAATACAGTGCTATAGTTTTCTCCCTAATTTTCTTCATTTCCTATGGAATTCTTCGGAATTTCACCCAGTCATGTATGAGAAATTTAAAGGAAATTTTATTTAATGACATCTATTTAACTAAAACCATATCTGCATTTACAAACTCTACTGAAAATGGCATTCATAAGCTTTTGATCATTGGGCTGAACACATACCAGTACTGAACTCGAGGGTACTGCCGGTCCAAGTTTCTCCTCTAACTCAGGTGCACATGCATCTAGGCAGGGCTGGGACCAGGATTTTTTACGTATGTGCAATAAATTCATCCCAGAACCTAAGAAGTGAAGTTATGACAATATAAAATAATCACCTTGAAAAGGACATTTTATTAAGCTATGTAGGAGAACAAAAAGCTGTTATAACCTTTGAGACTGAGCTACTTTTTCACTGAACACACAGAACTGACCTTCAAGAATCTAAAACACATATTTTGACCACAGCCAAACCCAGAACAGGGAATTTGCCCAATTCTCAATGCTACCACAAGGAATTTCCTTCTAACTAACCCAAATCCTTCTCAAAACCACCCCCAACAGTGACAGAACTTTCCCCACTCAGACTTGTACAGGAATAGGGACCAGACTTGTGATTTCACTGGTATAAGGAACATCTTAGTAAGGAAACTCTCTCTACCAATGTAGCTTAGCGCCACCTCTGAAACTCGAATCTTGATGAGTTACAGAGAACACTGAGAGGTAACTCAGCAAGGATGTGTTAGAATTAGGACTTGAATTTGAATTTTCTTGGTTTCCAGGCCAGCTCTATTCACAAAGCTTTACTGACCAGTTTTACTCCTTGTATACAAAACCTTTTTATACTCATTTATTTCTATGGTTATATATTACTAAGATACTATCCAATAACAACTCTATTAATTAGGATCTTGTTTAAACTTCTATTAGGAAGGCCAAGATATTCTTTTGAGTAAAGCCAGAAGTGCCCAGGAATAAATCATAATTTTTTTTTAATTTTACAAGTATGTTTGAATTTTTTGTGTTAAATCCAAAACTTAGATTTTTAAAGTTTGTTTGACTTTATGTTTAACTAGTTTGAATGCCAGCTAGATAAAGAAGGGACTAGCTCACAGATGCTTTGGTTTGTGTGATTCATTCTTTATAAACTGTCCATTGTGAAAGAAGGAGAAACATTGGCAGGCAAGGGATAGCGAAAACGACAGAAGTTTGGACCCTCTGTTTAATGGCATAAGGGCACTAACCAGACTGGGGACTATTGAGCAAAATGAGAGAGATGTAACTGATGCTGATTTATTTGACATTCTATATAAATGTCCTAAGCAGTATACAAGTTGTATCCAGGGTTGTTTTTCCCCCCTTAGGTAAAAAAATTAGCTGATTGTCCCATTGTTGACTGCTGAGGGGCTGGGTGCTAGTGGGTAAGGCTGTCTTCTCCACTGTTCTCTTTCCCCACATTTGTATGTTACAGAAAAATCTCCTTTTGGGGGTAGAGTAGTATAGAGCAGTGACTATGAAGTAGGTCTGCCTGGTGGGAAGGGAAAGAGTGCTGCTGAAAAGCTGGTAACACCCACATTCCAAGTGTGGAAGCCACTGAAGAGGGAGTAGTTCTACTTTCCCTTACACAGTGAAGTCTCACACAGATGGTAAATATCAGAGAAGTGGCTTAAATCCTCTAACTCTAAAGAAATCTTTCTTTACAGGAAGGATCCAGGATTACACAAACTGTCTTGAGCTAACACTTACAATCAACTCACAATGTTCTCCCCACTCCTGATTCCACTTTCTTCCTTCACACTCTATAATCCTGGACAACTCACTTAACCCTTCTGAGCTTCAGTTTCCTCATCAGTAAAATAAGGATAATGAAAAAGTAAATAAATAAATAAAAATTAAAAAAAAATAAGGATAATGATGTTGGCAGTACCCACCTCATAGGTTTTTTTGAGGGCCAAATGAGATAATGTTTGTACAGCTAGTACTATCATTTTTATTCTTCAACTAAAATTCTTTTCTTTTGCAGAAATGTGAAGTAAATTTGATCCATGTTCCCTGCTCTTTGGTTTTCTGCCTTTAGGCTAACAGAGAATCCTCTGTTAATTACCTTCTTGTCTCCCCAGAGGGCAGAGGAAAGATTATTCATTAATATGCATCTCAAGTAACTAGCATGTGAGAGTGAGACTTCAGGAACTCACTGCCACCTAGCAAAGCAGGTCACACAAAAATGATTCTCCACTGGCTTAATTTCCAATGCCCTCGATCAACAGCACTAGAGCACCATTCATTTTTGTGTTTTAATTTCCTGCTGTACTGGAAACTCACTTTGCACCTCTCTGTACTCACACAGCTGCTGCAGATTTTGGTCATCAAAATGTCCCTAAGCAATGTTGCTATTTATGCTAGTTGACAGCTCTCAGCCCATGTCTACAATATGATGTGTGTGCACTCTCATCCTGCCCATACTGTTTTCTCTCTCCCATACCAATAGCTGATTTGTCCCAGATTTGTAAGATCTCTGCATTGGAAGGGACACAGGTTTCCTCTATCATAGAGATAACTAATTGTTAGCCAACATTTATTTGAGGTCCTCTAGTGAGAGGATACCCATTATCTATCAAGGTAATGCATTCCACTTTGGGATAGCTATAATTGTTGGGAAGATCTTCTTTATATCTAGCATGCACTGTGACTTCCACCCACTGCATTTAGTTCTGGTCACTAGGGCCAAAAAGTTAGTGCAGGGGTTCTCAGCCTGGGGTCTATGGAATTTTAAATAGTACTTTGATTATGGTATTTCAATATAATTGATTTCCTTTGTAATCTTATGTATTTCATGTATTTAAAATATTGTTCTGAAAAGGAGTCCATAGGCTTCAACCAGACTGCCAAAACACACAGAAAATGCTAAGAACCCCTCACTCTAATTCCTTTCCCCACATGACAGCACTAATGTTGGCTCTCAAGTCTCCCATAAGTATTCTCTTCTCCAATCTAAAGCTCCTTAGTTCTGGTTAAGTGACTTGCTTAAGAGCATTTGGTGTCTAAACTGTCAATAGAACCCAGATCTTCTGTCATTCTAGTCCAGCACTCTGTCCACTACACTCAGCTGTCTCCCAAATAATTTGGACAATATTTTGTTGCTCAATGTAAGGGTTCTAACTTATATTTTTAAAAACAGTATGAAAGTAGAGAGGGCTAGTGAAAATTCAGCCATAATTAAGGTCACTCCTTAGTGAGCGACCTTAGGAGAAAGGGCAGTTTTAAGAGACTGCCCTAAGAGACTGAAAAATGAGATTTTACAATGGGGTTGGAAAGTACTTCTCTCTCTTAACCTTATAGTCCTAGTTACCTTCTCTCTCCATTGCCCTTCAATATGCCAGCTTATTCACCCTGTGTTCAGAGGAGTTACAAGTATTTGTCAGGAATCTTCCTCTTTCCAATAGCAGGTCAAGTGTTTATAAAGTCCTTTCTGGTGATTTCTTAGGACTCCCTTCTATTCAACCCAACACAATAAACACCTAGTAAGCAACTATAACATACATGGAACTGAAATAAAATGAATGGTAATTGCCCTCAAGGAGCTTGGAAAATTCCCAGGGAGTATCATGCTCTTCTTTTAAAGGCAGTGGGGCACAGTAGAAACCAGCAACCAGGTAGGAATTGACACCTGGGTTCTAGTCCTGCCTGTGCCACTAACTAACTTTATTACCTTAACCACAGACCTCTCCAGGCTTCAATTTCCTCATCTGTAAAATGAGAGCATTAGATGATCTCCAAGGGTCCGTCAAACTAAGACTATAATGATGTCTGCAGTTATTTACAAACTGATATTGTGATTTTTTTTCTTCTTCTAGTACTTTCCCAGGTTGAGAAGTTAACCTCACAGATCCGGTATTTCCAGGGTCATTTTGTTTCCCATGGAATTGGGTCATTTCCTTACTTGTCCCTCTGGTGAACAATGACACCATTAAACCAGAATTGGGGTTCTCCTGTCTTAGTTATTATTGGTACTTAAATTAAATCTCTTTTTTTAATCCAGCTAGAGCATTGGGCTCAGTCACCTCCTAGGGTAATGACTTCCCCAGGCTCATTGCCTCCCTGCTTCCAGTGTATTTCTCACGATCAATAAAAGTTAACTGATAATAGTACACGATGGAGGCATTTCCCCTCATTTGTTTCAAGTTGACCATTGATGGCACAGATTCCCTCCCTTCCCCATTCCCACTTTTCTCAAGTTCACATTTCTGGTACCTTGACAAGACTCCTTGTCCAAAGGCCAAGATATAATGGCAAGTAACATTTCAGAAATCATATCAAAGATTACAGAACCATTGAAATGTCTCTGTTATGTTTACACAAAACTCCCAAAAGTCTTGGGAAACCCAAGAATACTTGGGCAAATAAATCTTTTCACTGCCCTAAGTTTTAGTTTTCTAACCTGTAAAATGGGACAATAATGCCTGTCTCATCTACTTTAGAGGATTGCGTTGTGAGGATCCAATGAGATAATGCATGTGAAAGCACAATGAATCTTTATAAATGGAGCTATTTATAGAAATTGTTGCTGTTCCCGGCAGAGGTGGTTAATATATACTATCTGGATGTTCCCCATTCCCATTTTCAGCTGTATATGCCAAGGGAGGGGAAAACTCTCAAAAGCTAAGTCATCTTGTCTCTCCCTCAAAAGAGCAGAGGGAGTGAGCACAGCAGCATTTACCTAGATTAGCAGATGATTTACACACCAAGAGAGAGAATCAGCCAGCCTTGGGAAAAAACACAAGGTCTAAGTCAAGAAACAATGGAGTAGCCTATGATCTTGTCAACTGGTGATCAGTTCTGAGGTCAAAAGCAAGGATTCCAGGAAAGCAAACAGGTCCAGAGGGGTAGGCAGGAGAATGCAGACCAAGTCTCTAGTGTGAATGTGGGGAGTTGTAGGGGTAGAAGGAAAAGAGAGAGCAGGGCCATACAGAACAAGGCAAGGAAAATACTTAGGAGAAAGAAGCACCCTTTTAATGGTGGGGGCATGTTGGCCATGCATGCCCCTGCCCCTCTTAGATGAAGTAAGTATAGTTCTGAGCCAGGACATAAATCATACAGGATTAAATGGTTAACACAGCTCAAAGTGTAATACATTTTGAAATTTTTAAATGTATGGTGATTTAAAATGTATGCCAGGTGGGAAAATCCATATTTAATCAGAACTTTGAGAAATATTAAATTAGATTTTCTGATTCCCATTTTAAAAAAAAGGTATAACCTTTCAAGCTTTTAACTCATCACTGTCTATGTGCTTGGTTTTCTC